TCTATTTATATATATCTATCCATCTATGTATCAATCCATCTATGTATCAATCTATCTATCTATCTATCTTATATTTGTTGTAAATAAAAGAGCAGATACAAACCTTTCTTAATGTGAATACCTGCGTGGGAAATCAAACAGGAATTCTGTGTGTGAGGTGAAGAAGGCAGAACAGGGAGAAGAAAGAGAAAAGAATCCTGACAATTTGTTTAGAGCTGTGAGAGACGGAGGTGAGGCGGATGGAGGAGGGGGGGACCTCCGAGGCTTTGGAGCCAATTCCAGGACCTTGTGATGCAAAACCAGTCTTCTGCAACAGACAGTTCCCATGGCAACGGGGAGCTGCCAAAGTTCCTTGTTGACAAATGACAGTTACCCTCTCCTTGCCCGCCAATGTGTGTGTGTTTGTCCGTGTGTGTGTGTGTGTGACTGTTTGTCTGTGTGTGTGAATGTGTTATTTGGCAAGTCCCTTAATTCTCTTTGCCTCAGGCAAGGAGGGAGGAAGGGGTAAAGGAAAGAGTGAGAGCATTGTATTGTGTATGCAGACATGTATACAGTATTCAAACAGACACAAACACACATATAGAGTTAATGTGTATTTTGACAAAAAATGTGTCAACTAATTATTGCAGCTTTATAGCAGACAATAAAGAAGAAAACGTTAAAATTCAAAGAAATGAGTTGTTAAAAGGTTCAAATAGCTAGCTAAAAGTATTTGATTAATAGTCAACATTTTCAATTTGAACGTTGGCTAAATGTAATGTAATTACAACATCAAGTTGTAACTGAAATTATTATCATATTACAATATGAATCAACAAACATCTTCATTTCATCTGACAGGGAGGTGGCCGCCAGGCGCAAAACGCGCTCCAACCGACCAAAACACCTACATTAGAAGAAACGTGCTGCACTTGAAAAAACCATGCAAATATAAAAACTCATGCATATAAAGAAACATCTCCACCAACTTGACGAAACATGTGCAACATTTACTAAAAGCGCTGCAAATAAAAGAAAAATGCTGCAAGAAGCTCAAAACACAACGGAAATGTGGTAAATGAATCCCTTTGAATTTGCATCTCAATATTGTATTATAAACATCTAAGTTGACTGAAGGAACATTACAATGTTGTTTGTTGTTTTTGCATTTAAAAGCAGTCAGTCCGGTAATAGAGTGCAGTGACACGAGAGACAGTGAGGGTGAGGAATGTGAAGTAGGAGCAGGGAAAGGTGTGTGTGTGTGTGTGTGTGTGTGTGTGTGTGTGTGTGTGTGTGTGTGTGTGTGTGTGTGTGGTGGGGGCTGAGCGGCAGGATACACACACCCTGTGGCAGAAGTGTCGTGAAATGATGATCTTCCATTCTCACCTCGCAACAGAGCTGTCAAGATGTTCAGACCCGGGATTTAACCTCCCCCACTTCACACTGTTGCACTCTGCCGACACACGCGTACACACACACACACACACACACTGCACAGTTTTCACTACAATAGCTTAGCTGCTTTCAAGCAATCTGGACCAATGTCATACAAAAGCTGCACAGTATTACAAATAATCCAGTAATTAGGATGCGCATGGAGAACACTTACTGGATCAAAGGAGCATAACTCAAAGCTCACTGATTTCACTGGATGCAAGTTCAGTCTCTTTAACAGTCATTATGACATGAGTGAGAAGTGCTTTTTTATGCTGCAGCCACACGGAGACTATACTGGTCGTATCCGCTACAGTTCTCTATCTTATAGACGGTTCGGCCACACGAGGCCGACAGGGAAACGCAGAAACGATAACGGGTCCCAAGGTGGGTAGATCTGCGGACGCAACGCTCTGGGGGGCCAAACGGCTCCGTGATTACGCCCTATACGATCATTTCCTGATAACGAAAATACTGACGGGCTGTCAGGAGAGGGGGAGGGAAAGAGAGACTCTGTATATTATTCTTATATTATTATATAGAGTCGTTATTCATTTGTTTTCAAGCTCAATAAATAACAAAGAAGACCTTTGACCGGCACTTTTATAATTTTGTCCGGAAGATTTACATTTTAACGGACATGTTGACCGGCGGAAAAAAATTATAACGGAAACTCTGCCGCACGGTTCCCTCGTCCCTTGGAAGAGGCGGAGAGGTGGGTTTTTCATCTGCTGGTGGACTACCGGGGAGATTTACAGCAGGAGCACACGCTTGCCTCGGGGAGGGAGACAAAGAGCCAGAGCCCTGCCTCTCCCCACCTCTGCTGCTAAATCCACCGCGGAGAATAAACAGAAGGGCAACCATGGCAACCATGCTAGGGAAGTCTTCTTAGCTGCTTTTGGTGTATTTTGTGGCGGAAGTACAGCGCCACTTACAGGCCCGGCATATGTACTACAGCATCTCCAGCGGGTCGAGTGGTCTCGTGTGAACGGACACGTTTCTGGTGCCGATTGCGTGTGGACGGAAGACTTTTTTGATATCGAATTCGGTTCGTTTCCGTTACCGTCTCCGTGTGGCTAGGGTAAACTGTACCTGGCTAATCCCAAGGTAGAAGAGTGAGTTATATGCTACAATGAGTGAGAAACCTGAAATCAATAAGCATTTTAGCACTTCCCCTTCCCTTGTCTCGAAGTCATGGTTAGATGACTGAAATAAGGTCTGTGGTTAACTAAAAAAAAATTCTTATGTTCTTATCTACAGCATAACATATGTCAGTAAATACCTCAATGGTGAATGTCTGAAGCTTCTACAGTATGTGTCTTAACAATGGTGGTTGCAAACAAGTGACTAAATTAGACAGTTTGCCACAGATCTTATTTTCTACAATATTCAGAAAAATCCTATTGACTTTTTGTTGTGCATGCATATATATATAGATATTAGGGAGTGTAAGGAAGAGTGTGGGGGTGACTTGCTCTGAGCGTAATGTCAAAACAATTTACAAGAATTGAGCAGCAAATTGACACCTGGAAGACATTTTGGCGTGTGCAGTAACCTCAAATGAACAGCAGACAGGACGAAAGAAATACGAAAAACACAAACATACACACCCTCAGAGGTCCCCTTTACGTGACTGTGTTAACAAAATGGTGTCCCCAAATAATGATAAATACCAACACACACACACCCTCAGAGGTCCCCACAACACAAATGTGTAAACATAATGGCATCCCCAAATAGTGATAAATACCAACACACACACTCTGAGGTCTGCAATAGTGTATACATGTACATATACACACACTGTATGTTATTGTACTGTGAACTACAATGTTAAGGAATAAAGGAGGAAGCAAGTTTTTTTCTTAACATTTCTTTTACTCATCTTTACACTGGTCACAGAACATCACATACATTGTCAGAGCAGAATAGCTCTTTTTTTATTTTGATAACAGACAATGCAGTTAAATGTTTTCGTCCCAGAAACAAATACTGCTTTGTCAAAATGATTCAACTTTAAAAAATACCACTGATAATCACAGGGTTTTATTATTTAGGTTTTAGAGAAACGAAATAGGCTGGTACTCAACTTGTCTAGTTGTAGATGTTTCACCGGGAGGCCATCGTAGGGATGCAAACTGTTATACATCTGAAAAAAACGATATGACAAGTGGCAAGGCGGGAATAATTCCACCAAGCACAAAGAGCATCCAATTCTTTGACCTTATGGTGAGTCACAAAAAATAAAAACACTACTGACTGATATATTCTTTACGTTTTAAACTGCTTTGGTTTGTCACCAGTGTGAGGACCCTAAGCTTCAGAGGTGCCAAACGAGACACACCAACAAACAAGAAACCACTGATCATGCCGTCATGAAAGGCTCATGTATGTAGATTAGAGCGTGTTATTGTGTCTGTCCTTGATTGGTTTCTTTTAGCCTAATAACAAATGTTAAGCCTGTCAGATTTTGATAAGGACGTGATATTTAGCTCTGTATGTTGAGATACATGTTTACTAAATTCTATTGCCTGCAACACTAGAAAAAATATTTCTTATTGAGAGTAAGATTGATATCACTGTCATGAATGTAAATACGAAGTAGCAACCAGTTAGCTTACCTTAGCACAAAGACTGAAACAGGTAGAAACCAAGCCCCCTGAAAGTGCGCCAAGCTCTGAAGTAGATTTTCCTAGTGGCCAAATGGTGGTACTACAACTTATGTGTCAGTCCGTGATGTCATTGGGCCCAAAAATACTTTTTTCTCTTGAATTACATTGGGAAAGATGCGTCTGTGTATTTTTTGCTAAATAAACTTCCCATTAAGAACATTTCAATAGCCCTTTGTTAAATGATTGGGACCTAAAAGTTGTAAAATGCACTAAAGCCCAATCTAGAATGATTTGCTTCTCCAAATATTTGGAAGAGCTGAGTCTGGGCTGTGACGCAGCGGATTGGAGGCGGGGCTCAAGGTAAACACATGCTCTATGGACAGATCCTGGAATGATCCAGGTATTTTTGAACACAAGAGTCAAGCCATGTTGGCTTCATGCGCCACTGAGCAACTTTCAAAGGAAATGAACAGGGCCCCGCCTCCAACACTTTATCCAAATCTCTTAGTACATCCATGGTAGAAACAGCTAGCTTGATAATATCCAAAGTTAACATCCTGAGCCTCCAAGCACTTCTAAAGCTCTTTACCTATTTTAATATTTGTATTAAAATAGTTAAATCCATACAGCTGCCAAAGTATTGATCCGATTGAAAACTATGTTTAAAGGTGGGGTAGGTAATTTTGGAGAAACCGGCTCGAGATCGCTAGAATTTGAAAATACACAACCGGAGAAAATCTGCCACTTCCTTACAGAGCCCCTCCTCCAACACACACGAACGCGCACATGACCAATGAGGGCACGAGATAAGTTTGTGCACAGATGGAAGGCTGACAGGCAGGTAGGCCATCCAGTTATTTTAGCCGGGCCGGCTCAGATGATTGGTCGTGCTTTTTACAGTACTACGGCTTCCACAGATGACACTTTTTTATGGATTTTTTGTCAAAGCATTTAAGATATTCATTGCTATCGGGATGTTAAGAGCATTCCATGGAATATAACAAAAAGTGTTTCTGAAATAAATTACATACCCCACCTTTAAGCACAGGGACCCAAAACAATGTCATGAGCAACATCATGAACCTTTATAAATCTGCGTATGCATATTTCTGTTTTTGTGCGTACCAAAAACTTTGGTCGTGAATCTATGTACAGTTTTACAAATCTAGCCAGAGTAAGGCTCCCCTCGTAAAACCATTGGGATATATAACATGTCATTTAGTCAGCTTTAGAAGTGCCAGTACTGTTACTGCAAAAAGGTTTTAATTGCAAGTATATCCCCTAAAATGACAAACTATTCCTTTAACTTCAAATAGAACTGAGTGAATCTGACTTGTCCTGTTGTGTTTGCTATACATGTATTTCCGTGATGAACCTTATTGGTTATAATCCATAATGCTGCAGACTTTTGGTGAAACTTCATCAATGGACAGAACGACCCAACCATAACAAGCCTCTCCTGATTGAATCTAAGTAAAGGAGGTTTTGAACAAGACTTTAGCAACTTCACTTGAAAGTTGCTTTCAAGTTTGTGCGTTGTCAAGACACGTAATGCTAGAAAACATGCATTTTGGGTGTTGAAATTCAGTTTGAGCTTTCATAGACACAGAATCCCAGCATTTAACTACATGCCTATGTCCTGTTTCAGTCAAACGCAGTCACTTGGAATGCAAGATACTTAGCAACAAGAACAATTACACTAACACACAATATACAAGAATCTATAAAAACACTAAGGCACTTGAACTTGAGATTTAACATTTTAAATGTTTATGATTGTTGTTTCTTAAAGTAATTTGAAGAAAAACACATGATGCCGCCACTGCAGCACAGTCGCGCGCCATTGCCTGAGACAGCTTTAAAATATACCCATGTTTAATTAAAACAACTGCTTAAATCAAGTTTTAAAATGCTACATAATATCTCGCTGACACACGCACATACACGCACAGAAGCACACACTCCCAAATCCACAACACCTTTTGTAGGCTTGTTTAGGGTCCTGAAACAAGACCGGTGCACCAATATAAACCCCACTAAGACCTTTAGTTTTGTGCTGTGGGGCTGTAAAAATGGTCTTGGAGACCCTTCACTTCACTTTTAGGATTGAAGATCCCACTCTATGTGACCGTAGCCTATTTATCTATCTATCTCTCGAAAGTATTCCAGTGCCAACAGTGGCCAAGATCTTCCTATGTAGTTTATTTTAATGTGATCTTAACACAAGCAAAATAATAAAGTTTATATGTGCGCAATCCTGAAGTTTATAGAGTAGTGCAGGAATGAGTCCTAAGCTCTGGAAATGAGTTAGCATTTTAGCACACCTAAGCTCCCTCGTCTTGAAGTCGAAGGTTTTTAAACTTATTTGTTGTTGTAATGTTATATTTCCAAAATAAGGTCTGCGGTTAACACAAGCTGAAGAGATTTCCATGTTTTGTTTTACAACATAGAATACGTCAGTTAATATCCCACTGGTGAATGTCTGATGGTGCGTTCACACCGGACGAGATATGATTTTTGGGTCGCATCGCGTCCGGTCAAATCAATGTAAAGACGCAGATAGACGCGAGTCAACTTTCAACTTTGCCGTCAAAACGTTACGAAAAATATATGTTAATATGTGGAGATTATCATTCTGAATGAAACCTGTTAAGTATCATAAACATGTGTTTGCCACAGAGCTTATTTTCTGCAATATTCCAAAATCCAATGGAAAAATCACATTTGATATTTGTTGAGGGAGCCCCTGTGATGCTAACTTCCGGGTCGGCCTACAAAAACATGCACCACTGTATTAGCGCATTCAAATAAAGCTGACTTGGCATTACTATAGTAGGTAGCTCACACCTCCATCGTCTGAGGAGAAAGTATCTTCATCTGAGGACAGCTGTCGTCATCGTTACATTTACATTCTCAGAAAGCAAGATCAGTGTCTATGAGCCCTGCGGTGCCACGGGCTGACTTTTTGAAGAACAACCTGGCCTTCCTCCTCTTCTTCCTCCTCTTCCTCCTGCTCCTCTTCCTCCTCCTCTTCCTCCCTATCTGCCATGCAGCGGTCTTCCTCTGTCCTTGTGTGTGCGTGACCCAGCAAGGTCCTAGTCCTGCTTTTCTGGCTTGACTTGTCCTTAACAACATCCAGGGAAGTCCCTGCCTCTCTTCTATCATCTTCTTCTTCCTCCCCCTCTTCTTCATCTTCATTTTCCTCTTCTTCCTCCTCCTCTTCATCCTCATCGTCATGCTCTTCTATTGCCACTGTCAGCCCTAACTTACTATGGCCAGCTAGCTGAAAGAAAGAGGAGTGCGGTGCAGACGGGCAGGTGGAGAGTGCTGCGTCGTACATGGAGAAAGGCAGGTGGAGGTAGTGTCCTGCAGTCGCCGCCGCTGCGTAGATGCAGCAGCACGTCTGGGCGGAGTCGGGGCGTAGATCCCCCTGCCCCGCACGGACCACCCGGAAGCGCTTACGGAAAGGAGGTCCGGCTTGGGGTGCTAAGCAGATGCGGGTGGGCACTGCTCCGTGGAGGGCCTGGTGGGAGGGGTTAGCGCTGGGGGCCGGGGGGCCGGGGGTGAAGGCGGCGTTTGGAGGGAAGCACCAGTCGGCGCTCTGGAGGAGGATCTCGGTCCGCAGGCGCCGGAGGAGGTTGTTCACGAGGACGGAGCGCCGGAGGAAGGCCTCGGGGTCGTCGATGAAGCGCATCTTCTCCAGGGAGAGGCGCAGCACGTGGGCGCGCTCCTCCAGCACCGGAGCAACCTGAGGACACGTTAGATATATGTAGCCTGGTCAGTTGATAGAAACCCAGACACCAAATATAAATGACTTGAGAGACAGAGTGAAGGGGTTTTATATTTTTTTCTGGCAGAAATAATGTTAATGCAAACTAACTCAAAAATGTTATGGGCAGAGAAATGAATCCCTTTTTTGTCTATCATTAACCTAACTCAACCAATGTAGCACTACCAGTGGCAGAAAGTACATTTACTCAACTATAGTACTTAAGTAATATTTTGCCTGACTTGTACTGCTAATATACTAAGTATTTGACATAGTAAATTGGCCCCACATTGATCAACTGCAACATTGAAATGATCCAACATGCATTTGTCATTTATAAAAACAGTATGATATCTATAATAAAAAGAACCATTCTGCATACTGAATACCTTTTAATACATGAAGTACATTTTGCTCGTAATACTTGTACTTCTACTTAAGTCACAGTTTCAATTAGGGCTTTTACTTGATTTCTACTTAAGTAAAGGTTCTGAGTACTTCTTCCACCAATGGGCACTACCTTTATAATACATCTGATTTGTAAGCTAAATTCACAGTAGAACATTATACTGGAGTTATTTAAGAGTATGGCATTGTAATGAGGTCAGTTGGGATACACTGTGTACTGAGTGTAAGAATGTGTGTGTGTCAAAACGTACAGTCTGGCAGTACGTCCTGAAGCTGAAGGGCGGCTCATCCTCATCATCCACAAACTTCCTCTTGAAGTACGCAATCCTTGATACTGAGACATGATCAGGAGCTCGTCTGCAGGGGGGGGCTGCAGACACAACGTACATTTAAGAGTTGTTAACAAAAGTGATGTAAAAACAACATAAATATAATACTAGGCAACACACTAGCCTTTGAATGGAGAAAATGTTTTGTTAACAGTCACCCTGGTTAAGCTTGAGTTGAACATTAGAACCAATAAAAGCCTTAGGACAGCCAGCTTTTCGAGAAGAACAGCTTTCTTTGGTAACTCAGTTGATTCTGAAATGACTATTCAAATAGCAGTGTACTTAAATTAATCCTTAAATGACATCTAATATGTTATTTAGTTAATTGCTCAGTTGCATGTGCTGCACTATGTAGTAGTGCTACCTAGCTCAACTCAAGAGGTTCCATAATGATAACTTTACAGCATGGCCTCGACAGACACATGCGGATGGTTTAGATGTATAGTGTAAAAAGGGTCGTGCAGGAATGAGTCTTAAAACTGGATTTAATATTTTAGCACTCACGCTTACTTCGTCTAAAAGTCAACAGTTTTTTTTAAACATGTTTTGGGTTTTATGGCTAAAATAAGATCTGCTGTTAACACATGCTGAAGATATGGTCACGTTTTCTTGTATGACAGAAACAATACGTCAGTAAATACCCCACTGGTCAATAACTGAAGCTTCTATGTCATAAAAACAACGTTGACTAAATGAGATGACAGTGGTAACGTGAAGTCATGTAGTTCATTTATAGCCTAACTTTTTACTTCTGGCATTGAAGCTTAAAAGATGTGTTAATATGTAGAGATTATCCAGCTGACCAAAATGTGTAAGTATCATAAACATGTGTTTGCTGAAGATGTTATTTTCGGCAATATTCCAAAATCCGATGGAAGAATCCTATCGCTTTTAGTTGAGGGAGCGCTTGTGACACTAGCTTACAGGTAGGCATATTGCCAGGACTATAGGATGTGGTACCAAATCCTTGGTTATCAAATAACTTTGTGGATCAGCTTCTGATTATATTCTACTTAAATTAACTACTGAATGAATTGTGAGTGATCTTTGTTACCTTGTGCACATGGCTCTTCAGAGCTGCAGGGGGGGGCTGGGTCCGACAGGCAGGTCTTAGTGCAGCGCTTCGATTCCCATATGGGTGGGAATGTGGAGGGCGGAGGGTCTCCCTCTGGGTCCAGGAAAGGATTCATGGACAAAACTAGGGTCATCTCTCTCTATGATTCAGGTCTGTGAAAAAACAGAATGGGAAAAATTCAACAACGAATATAATTCTAAACCCAAAATGACTACATGATAATAAGATGTCACTTCAAAACACATGCCTACATGATGACATGAAAGTTAATCAAGTGAAATCAAGGTGAAATTAGTTTAATGCATCTCCTACTGTTTGTAAACTAATTGTAATGATATTAGTCTGAGAAAGTTTACACAAAATCCTTAAATTTGTTATAAAGAATTTTGCGTATGCATTAGGTTAAGGCGGCAATATATTGTCTTAACATTGATATTGTGATAAGAGATTAGATCGAGTTGAAATTCGGTCGGCATTACAATAAAGTTACGTAATTTCCCATACTGTACTAGTAGTTCTATTCCTGGCCTTCACCTACTTAGTCATTATATCCACATTACTAATAATTATTAAAACATTCTCATTGTGTAAAGACCAACTGTCAACTCTTCATTATCGTCGCAATAATCTATAACGAGGTATTTGCTAAAATATATTTGTGATATATGGTTTTCTTCATGTCACCCAGCCCAAGTATGCTTTCTATTTGATGTGGTAACTGTCAACAAGATGTGTACGATACTTGCTAATATGTACTTGTTGTGGAGGAGTAACCAGCTTCTTTGCAAGCAGCATGACAAATCTAACAACAATACTGGTGTGCAGTAAAAATTGGCAGATGGCTGGCGATATGCGTGGTACTGTTACAAGTGGGACACAGATGGAGAGATGACACCCACCCACACCATGAACTCCCTGGTGATTAGTTGGTAGGAGAGTTAGCGAGAGGTTTGACACACTTGTTCGGTGAAATGGATCTCACTCATGAAATCGCACTGCGAGGCTGTGTCAACAGCATGGTCATTTATAAAGCAAAGGAGAAGGGCACAGTGCAAAGAGGTGCAGTGCATAAGGCAAATAACCTAACAAAAGATATCAAATATGTGAATTTTATAAAAATACAAGTAACGGTTAACCTGCTTACTAATACATTTGACAAAACATATTCAGAATATTTGTATTGCTTTAGCTAAGGGAAGTACTCCTTTACAACAAAGCAACAATTTGAACTGCAGCGAAAGCAACGTAACTTAAAAAGACGGCAGCTCTGATCAAGGTTTCCTGTAACTGTCAGTCTGTTCACATTCTCTTTTCCATGAAGTAGTCTTTAAACACTGCCGAGCCCACACCGTGTTCCTGTCAGTGTTCACTTCCTGTCTGTCTTCTGTTGCTGTTCCCGTTAGTGTTTACTTTCTGTCTGTATTCTTCTGCTGTTCCCAGTGTTTTATATTTGAACCTCTTTCCTTCTCTTCTGATGTTTTCTTGTTCTTCTGTGAATCCAAAGTTTCCTGCTCTCCACTTATATAAAAAGTTATATTCCAAAATATCCCATGGTGTTTTCTGATGGAGAAAAACGAATGAATTTGTTTTGGCCTCCGCTAACGTTAAATTGTCTGGACTTCTTTCTGCGGATTGATATGACTGCACATTAGCAGTAAACAGTAATAACTTTGAAACTCAAGTGAAGCAGATCCAAAGAAACATAAGGGGGTCATATTACTTTGCAGCAGGTAGCACTAATGGCGCATTTCCACTACAGCGCGGAGCACGGTTTAAGAGGGCTGTGACGTCAGCGGCCCGTCTTTGGTTGCGTTTCCACTTGGCCTAGTACCGGCCGGCGGGTCCTAATTCAAAGTTTTTCTGGCCTCATAAAATCGTGGGTCTAGGGCCAGAGACAACGAGGCTGAGTCGGGCTGAGTATGCTAAACTAGAGAGAGCATCGCTGGCAAGGGGGCTACAACTACAAGATGGACATATTTGACCGTGATTTAATTGTAATACACGTTTCAAAATGATGCCGAAGTAACAACATACTGATACCGGTTAGTAAAAACCATGAATTAATGCTTTGTCAAGTCTGCAGACAGACGGCAGGCGAAAAACCTTTTAAAATGCTTGTTTTCTAAATGGAGATTGGCTAAGCTAATGCAGTATATGCTCCGACCGTCCACACTCACAACAACGGCCTATACAGACATAAATAAAGCAGCGACTGTATTCGCCATGACACAGGCAGTCTGTGGTTTGTACTTGTTTAACTTTTGTCTAGTTTCTGAACATATATGAGGAGCTGTGAGCTCTGAGTGCTAACAGCTAACGGCTGTGTTGTTTTTCTGGAGTTCTCTGAAGATCACGTCACGGCTCCGCCTACACTGCGTTACTATAGATACTACCCCAGTTCCTAAACTGTAATGGAAATGCGCCATAAAGTGAGCCAGTCCTAACGAGGCCCAGCCATACCGAGCGGGGCCGAGCGAGGCCGTGTAGTGGAAACGCGCCATAACACGCCAACTGAGTTTTTTCCAACAGAAACAGAGCCACACTGTGAAGACACTGAGAGCCAGTCTCTTGTGTTTCTTGAATCCGTGGAGAGAAACTCTATAGTCCTTTTGATCACGGAGAATGACAGTGATTTGATTCGCTGTTGATTCCTCCCCTTCATGCAGAATGCAAAGCCAGCTGTTTCAGGCACCGGCGGCCGACCCTCCCTGTCACCACCTTTCTTTCTCAAAGCTTCTCCTGCCCCTCCTCTACCGGCCCCCAGGAGCAGATATCATCGCCCACAACCCAGCTTGACAGACCAAACCGAGGCGACACCATCTCAGCCTCAGCCATCAGGTAGCTGATTAAAATGTCCGCTTCAATAAGCTCCCTGTTTTGCCTGGATGAACAGTTTTATTTCAGCTTGCTGCTTTTCTAGTGTTTGCTTTTAACTGACTAATCAGACACACCAAAGCCGGTAAAACATCACCTTCTGCTGCTACGAAACCCATCTAGCCAGCCCCAGGTAGTGATGGATTACACCGAACAGCGTTAACGTTTTATATATTTTAAGGGTTCAGCGAGCATGCTATAATATCAACTCCAACCGTGCAGTACAATGTTCGTGACAATAAAAATGCTGCAGCAATACTTCTGTCAATGTTATGCTCTGTCTTACCCTCACTCATGACACTACCTTGCTCAGAATTGCAACTTTATTGTTATTGAAGATTTTGCCTGTCCTTGCGACTGTTGAAGCACATTTTTTGGGGTCAGTAGGCTCTCCAAAGACAAACTGCCCATGGGGCCGACAAAAAGTGGTTCAATCTATTGGTCTGGCATCCAAATACTGGAGCTGAATTCATTCTGGGGAGTGCCTGACCCTCTGTCTCCCAATTCCACTCTATCTTTTTGGTGGCACAAAAATCTTCCTAAAACAAAAAAAGTGGTTCAATCAACAAGTAAAAGTTGTCAATAAAGGTTATCCAAAATGCTATCCCTGTATATGCATTGTTTTCTTGTACTATACATACAGTATATAAATATAAAATAGTAGTTGCGTTAGACTTTATTATTGTCTGTCTATTTGACATCATAATCTAGAATTACCCATTATTTTACTTTTAATTATAATAAGGCATATCTAATAGCATTTAGTTGTGATTCATTCATTGTAATTCTTAAATAATAATAAACAGAACGGATTATTGTATTGATACCCTACAGTGACAGCATCGGCCACTGAAAACTGCAGCGATTCTGCCTTAAGCATATATCAACAATGCAATCTACAGAGGCGACATTTCGGGGTTTGTTTAGACAGCTGTCACATTGCAGATTAGATCTGCCGCAGCACTTCAGCCAAACTTATGAAGTTAGAAAACATTTCCACCAGGGAAGTGATTAGAAGTATTCAAGACTTTCTGAACATTATAATAAATGTTCAGATCTTGAAAGCACTTGCTTCACCGAATTCTCTTCAACCAAACCTGGTTGGAACACTGTCTCGTCAACCACGTCTTTACAACCAACATGTAGATGTGCATTAAGATGATATGTTTTTAATACACACCTGTCAGACTTAACTGTAATTAAAACATAACAGAAACCTTGTACTGGTTGGCGGGGGGGGGGACATGCATCAACCTGTGACGGGTGTAAAGAAGCAGCTAGGGACTTGACGTGCATCAGAGAGGAAGATGTTAGTTTGTCTACATTTGCCCCAGGCCAAGAGTGTCAAAATATGATGGAAACCAAATGTGTTTTTTTGGCCATAGCTGAGATTACATTTGACCGGACTTCTTTCTGCTGATTGATATGACAGTGTTTTTAACAATGGTCTATTATCCTTAGAAACAGTTTGCTATCAAAAAAGAGCAGACCACTGAATGTCCAAATTGACCAATCAGAATCAACTATTCAAGCCGTGTAGTATACAGTAATTTCACTGGATGTTTGAAATGAAGGTGACGCAGATCCAAAGAAACATATGGGGGGCAGATTACATATACTTTTCAGCAAGTAGCCCTAGCCCGCCTACTGAGTTTTTTTCCCAACAGGAAACAGAGCCCTACTGTGAAGACACTGAGAGCCAGTCTCTTGTGTTTCTTGGATCCGTGGAGAGAAACTCTATAGTCTTTTTGATCACGGAGAATGACAGTGATTTGTTTCGCTGTTGATTCTTCCACCTCATGCAAGAGTGTGTCAACAGATGAAGGACTGCAGCAGAAAATTCAACTTATTTGGGAAATAAAAGACCAATACCTTCTGTGTATTCCCACAATTAAGCAATGTATCCCGATGGATATAGAAGATGTAGAGGGAGAGCCCAGCTGAAAGACATCAGGTTCTATTATCTGTGTCCGTTGGAGCCTGCAACTCCAGTTTTGGTCATGATCCATTGCATCACACTTTATAACGTGGTGTCAGATTTAAACCGTACTTGTGTGGGCTTCATTTCCACTGCTGAGCCCCCCCCTCCACTGAAGACCACCAACTAGGGCCAATTATGTCAGTGTTATTGAGCGCGAGTGCCATGGTTAATTAGCAGCTTTAGCCCTTCTCGATTCCCCCCTGAGCTGCTTTTTACCCGGAGCTATTTTCATCTCCATCACCTCCCTCGCTGCTGCTGCTGTTGCTACGTTCGCCGGAGCACAAAGAAACATGCATG